GCTTTCCTTTTCTTCCATCCTTTCCTCTGCTTCTTACTCGGAGTCTGATATCTTCATTTCCTCTGCAAGTCTCTTAGCTACTTGTCGACAAGATTCTAGTCTTGTCCCGTCACGAGATATTTGCGAAAAACCTAGGATGTGCTCATTCGAATCGCCGCTCAAAATTATAGGGCTTAATCGCCCCCACCCCCATCCCTTGTCCCCTCCCGGTCATCTCATAGGCGAGGTCAGCATAGAGTGTTCACTCCTGGTCCCCGAACTAGGGAGGTCGGTACAATGTGTCCCCTCCCGGTAACCTCACTTGCAAGGTCGGTACAATGTGTCCCCTCCCGGTAACCTCACTTGCAAGGTCGGTACAATGTGTCCACTCCCGGTCACCTAACTGGCGAGGTTGGAAGAGTGTGTCCGCTCCCGGTCACCTCACTGGCGAGGTCGGTATACAGTTTGTCCCCTCCCGGTCACCTCACTGGTGAGGTTGGAAGAATGTGTCCCCTCCCGGTCACCTCACTGGCAAAGGCGAGGTAGGTATACAGTTTGTCCCCTCCTGGTCACCTTACTGGCGAGGTGGGAGCAGAGTGTCCCCTCCCGGTCACCTTCTTGGCGAGGTCCGAACATGGTGCCCTTTTTTGGTCAGCATCCTGACAAGCTCGAGGGGGGCTGTCCCCTCCCGGGCACGTCCCCGACATCGTGGTCCGGGCATGTCCCCTCCCGGCCACCTACTCCGCGAGGTCAGCATAGAGTGTCCACTCCCGGGCACGACCCCCTGACAACGTTTTGGACTGGGCTGTCCACTTCCGGTCGCCGTCTTGATTAGCTCGTAAGGACCTGTCCCCTCCCGGTCATCTCCCCGAGCGAGGTCAGCACCGAGTGTCCCCTTCCGGACACCCGGCCGACAACGTGTCGGACTGGCCTGTCCGGTTCCGGTCGCCGCCGCTCCCCCTCCCCTGGTCTGTGCCCTAGCCTCACCTCCAGGCCTCTGCGAGGTGTCTGTAGCCTCGCAGCCGCCCCCCCCCCTCTTTCGAGGCGATTTTAGTCAATTTACTGATTTCCACCTTTACATAATCAAGTTTATACTTGTGTGGAGCATTGAATGAGGTCTATCGTTGTACTTTTCTATTAGCTACAAGCTATCTATTTTGGCTAGAAACTGATTTTTATATACTCAACATCAGTTTTATATATCAATTTAAAGTTAGAAGAACCAAAATTGTGCAAAACTTTAAAAGTGTTATAATCAAAGAAATTTCAACTGTTGCTCTATAGACAAACGAAACTAATTCGTTAAAATGCAGTATGTTGTGTACTTGTTCCGTTTTGACCTTCGTTGTAGCTCAATTCACCTCATATCATATTTTTCTAATCGATTATATGATCAAATCTGATTTGGTGGACGGTCAAAAAACGTCCAAAATCACGACTATAATTGGCTGAGCCCTCTTACTCTATAGCTATAGCTTAAGTTTAATCTGCGAAGCCTTTACAACTCACTCCGAGGGACACCAGGCCGAACCAAGTTGGGATTCGGCAGGGTAGGCAACTGACCAGTATGGACAAAACGCTACCTTATGGCTTTCAATCTAAAGAAAACGCATGTGAGCCATAAAACAACTTTTCATTATGACTTTAAAAGTAAACGTAATTTATGCAGATGACGTATTGGCAAAAATACTCAAATACAAATGACAGAAGTAAGTCGCGAAATGTAATGTTGTTGTGTTGGCAAAACATAAAACTCAGGTGGGATTCGTAAAAAAGTAAGTCGAGCGGGGTAAGAAACGAAATCACGAAGAAAACGAAGGGAGGAGGAATGGGGAGCGAGGGGAAGGGAGCGGAAAGGTGCCAAACGTAAACCATCACATAACCTCATTCCGCATGAGTACAAGTTGACTTAAAGTTAATGAAACTCAACATTGCCAGAAGGACAGTAAAAGTGGAACTCGATTTTTGAATTACTGTTAATGTCAAATTTGTTCTGACTCTAAATAATAAATCTCCTTGAGTTCAAACTCAGATAAAAAGATAATTAACAGGATCCTGTCAAAACCTCCCTTTTCTGTCTTAACGCATTTTGTGTTTAAATTATGTTATGAAACACAACTGCATCTGAAAACTTAAATCTTATATTTATTGATCTATCTCTTAATATAAATAACCCAAATAATTTTAACAGAAGGTAACAAAGCTGACCACAAACATAATAAACTGTATCTTAAAAGATCAATCTGGTTTTGGATCTACTTATCTTGAAATTTTTTACTCCGAATCTATTGTGTGGAGTCTTCAATTTGATCTAAATCTTAATTTTAATCTCTGTGGCCACACAACACTGCGGCATTAAAAGAGCGGATCTGTTGTGTCGGTATTCACAGTGTTAGGG